GAAGGAGATGGGAGAGTGACGAAGAAGAAATAGAAAAGAATGAAGAAGAAGATGGAGAAGACTGATTAAGAAGAAGGCTGAAGAGAAGAGGCTGAAAAGAAGAAGACAAAGAGGGAAAGAGCTGAGGTGAGCGTTAATCGAGGCCTGCTTTTGTCGGCCAGTGACACAAAAATGAGGCCGCGTGTCCAACGCGTTTCTGACGAAAGAGAGAGATGCGGGAGAGTTATACATATATGTATATATATATATATATATTGTATAACTATGTATTATATATTTGTTTGAACATTTGGTCACAAGAGTGGCTTGGGTTCAGTGGTGTGGCTCAATGGTTGAAGATTGAAAGGCTGAACCCGAGGTCAAGGTTTCGAACCCCACAACAAATGTTTCTTTTGTTTTGTTTTGGTTTTGTGTATATGTTTCATATCTATGTATATATATTTGTTTGAACATTTGGTCATAAGAGTGACTTTGGTTTAGGGGTTTGGCTCAGTGGTTAAGGGACCAAAGGACGAAGCCTGAGGTCAGGGGTTCGAAACCCCATATCCTATGTCCATCCATTTTGTGATTTTCTTTTCTTTTTTGCCTGTTTTGCATACGTGTGCCGACGACAACAAACGGAATATGCCTTCTCAGTAACGACATCTTCCTTCTGACAGCCGCAAGCGGAATATTCCCCAAATCTATATATGTATACCGTATACCCGTATCTGTGTGTATTTTGTCTATATATGAATATGTGTGTATCGTATATACATGTTTGTGTCTATGTCCGTATTTGTATGTATTTTGTCTGTATATGGTATGTATATGTATACGGTGTTTTAAAAAAAAAAAAAAGAAGAGAGAAATCATTCTACTACATCATTGAAATTTACCTGGTTAAAACCTTCCCTCTCTCCGTAGAAAATACGTTGAGATACGCTTGTTAGTTATACCATTGTTATTCTACCCCGGGACAGGGCCTTCAAGGGCCTCCCCATGTGATAAAAAGAGGAAGAAAACGATAGAAGAGGCGAGTAAATAAGATCGGCGTATAGCCGCAAAAAAAAATGAAGGGTTTTTATTTTTTGTAAATATGCTTATTTTGATCAGCGTATAGCCGTAAAAAAATGAAGGGTGTTTTGTTTTGTTTTTTTTTCTGTAAATATTTGTGTTTTGACTTGTTTTTGTTTTTATGTTTAAGTACTAAAAAATGAAGTTAAAAAGCAGGAAAAAAAAAAGAAAATTAAGCGCAAACAAAAAATAATAATGAGAAAAAAATAAAAATAAAAGAAATTAAGCCTAATAGCAAAATAAATAAATTAATTAATTAAAATAAAGTAATACCAACAGAAATTAAACTTAATGGGACGTTGGTGTTGCTGGAATGGTAATACAAAAAAAAATACCATGAGAGTTTAAAAAAAATCTATGTATGCAAAGTTAATTTTACTTCAAGATGCAGAACCCAAAAAAAAAATTACACAATTGAGAATAACAAACTGTTAAGGAGAATAAATGTATGAAGGACTTGAGAGCATTCAACTGATATAAATGTTTCCATATCAATGTAGTAATACACATATATCATTTTAACAAAAATTCAAGTTTCACAGTCATAATAAAACTTTTGAAGTAGAAATCGATATTCCAAGCTCGCCACGAATAAAATTGAAGCGATCCTAACTTAAGGGTTTTGTGAAAATATCCGTCAATTGTTTGTCGATGTTTACAAATTCAAGTACAATATTCTCTTTTTGAACATGATCTCTTAAAAAATGATGTCAAATTTCAATATATTTTGTTCGTGAGTGTTGAACCAGATTATTGCTTAAATTAATGGCACTAGTATTATCACATTTAATAAGGATATAATCATAATGTAAATCAAAGTCCTCTAATTGTTGTTTCATCCAAAGTATTTGGGCACAACAACTTCTGGAAGCTATATATTCAGCTTCGGTCGTTGATAAAGCAACAGAATTTTACTTTTTTGCTAAACCAAGATACTAATGAGTTACCAAGAAAATGACAAGTGTCATTGGTGCTTTTTCTGTCAAGTTTGCATCCGGCAAAGTCGGCATCCGAGTAACTAATTAAATCAAATGCAACATCTCTAGGATAAAACAGTCCCAAATTTTGAGTGCCAACAAGATATCTAAAAATTCTTTTAACAGCGCTAAGATGTGATTATTTAGGATTTGATTGATATTTAGCACATATACAAACACTAAACATAATATCGAGTATACTTGCAATTAAATAAAGAAGTGAGCCGATCATACCTCGATATTTTGTTTGATCAATGGACTTACATTTTTCTTCCTTGTCTAGCTTAATGGATGTGTTTATAGGTGTTTCAGCTATTTTTAAGTCATACATACCAAACTTTTTGAGTAGTTCTTTTGTGTACTTAGCTTGCTTGATAAAAATTCTTTTCTTACATTGTTTGATTTGTAGCCCAATGAAATAATTTAGCTCCCCCATCATGCTCATCTCAAACTCACCTTGCATACACTTAGCAAATTCCTCATACAAAGTTTCATTAGTAACACCAAATATAATGTCATCCACATATATTTGCACAATAAGTGAATCATCATTTTTAGTTTTAACAAAAAGTGTTGTGTCAATCGTTCCTCTAGAAAAATTATTTTCAATCAAAAATTTACTTAATCGTTCATACCATGCACGAGGTGCTTGTTTCAAACCATATAAAGTTTTTGATAGTTTAAAAGCATGATTTGGAAAAGCATAATCTTCAAAACCAGGTGGTTGTTTAACATAAACTTCCTCATTTATAAAACCATTAAGAAATGCACTTTTTACATCCATTTGATAAAGTTTGAAATCTCTAAAATATGCAAATGCAATTAACATGCGAATGGCTTCTAATCTAGCAACTGGAGTAAAGGTTTCATTGAAATCAATACCTTCTTCTTGATTGTATCCTTGTGCAACAAGTCTAGCCTTGTTTCTTATAATTGTGCCAGATTCATGAAGCTTGTTTCGAAGATTCATTTGGTACCGATAATGGTATGATCTTTAGGTTTTGGCACAAGTTCCCACACTTTGTTTCTCTCAAATTGGTTAAGCTCTTCATGCATAGCTATCATCCAATATTCATCGAATTCGGCTTCTTGAAAGTTTTTAGGCTCAATCTGTGAGAGGAAAACCAAGTTATTACAAATGTTTCTAAGTAAAGAGCGAGTTTCAATACTTTTTGTAGAGTCACCTAGGATTAAATCCTTAGGGTAATTATGAACAAACTTCCATTCTCTTGGCAAATTATCATTGTTTTTTCCTTCTTCTTGAGGTGGGAAAATAAGTTGTTCAATCTCTTTGTTCAACTTACATGGTTGGTTCTCTTCTTTGTAGATACTTGAATCTTTCACATTTGGTTCCAAATATATATTATCACTAACAATTTGCTTTTGAGTAAAGATGTTAGTTTCATCAAATGCAACATGTATAGATTCTTCCACAACAAGAGTTCTTTTATTAAAAACACGATAAGCTTTGCTAGTTAAGGAATAGCCAAGAAAAATTACTTCATCAAATTTTGAATTAAATTTACCTAAGTTATCCTTACCATTATTATGCACAAAACATTTACAACCAAAAACATGCTAGTGACTAATGTTGTACTTTCTATCATGCCAAAGTTCATAAGGAGTCTTTTTGAGAATAGGTCTAATTAATGCACGATTTAAAATATAGCATGCGGTGTAAACGACTTCGGCCCAAAAGTATTTAAGAAGATTATTTTCGCAAAGCATTGTTCTACTCATATCTTCTAAAGTTCTATTCTTCATTTCTACTACACCATTTTGTTGAGGGGTTCTAGGTGCTGAAAAATTATGTCCAATACCATGCTCATCACAAAATAATTCAGATTTCTCATTTTCAAGTTCTCTACCATGGTCAGTTCGAATATTAATAATAAGAAAGCCTTTTTCATTTTGAATTCTACGACAGAGTTTTGTAAAAGAAGAAAAGGTTTCATCTTTGTGTGCTAAAAACATAACCCATGTAAATCTTGAATAATCATCAACAATAACAAGATAATAATGTTTACCACCTAGACTAGATGTCCCTGAAGGACCAAATAAATCCATATGCAATAGTTGTAAAATTCTAGTTGTAGAAATGTGAGATTTTGATTTAGATGATGTTTTAGTTTGTTTTCCTTATTGACAAGCACTACAGAGATGATCTTTTTCAAATTTAATTTTTGAAAATTCAATGACCAAATCTTTTCTCAAAAGTTTAGCAATTAAATTCATATGAGCATAACCAAGTCTTCTATGTCATAACCAACTATTTTCATTATTAACATATAGACATTTAACATCACTAGAATACAGATCATTGAGATGAAAAACATAAACATTATCATGACGATTACTAATGAATAAAGCTTTATAATCATTTGTGCTTTCAATTGTGCAATATGATTTATCAAAAATAACTCGATTACCTTTATCACATAATTGATTAATACTAAGTAGATTATACTTAAGTCCATCAACAAGTAAAACATTTTCAATAGAAGGGTTAGGAGAAATACCGATGCTACCAATACCGATGATTTTTTCTTTCTTGTTGTCTCCAAAAGTAACAAAGCCTCCATCTTTAGATGATAGTGTAGTAAAGAAGGATTTATCTCCGGTCATGTCACGCCCCAGACTTGCCCCTAAAAGTTTGGGCATGACCCATTCAGAAACGGACATATAACCTGGTATATATATATCATATGGGGCCTTATCGGAAGCATAAAAACATTACAAGAACACTAATACAAACAAACTCCATTGAGCTACTTCTAATATGCCAAGATCTCATACACACAAGCACCACCATAAGCAGATAAAGTTTAAAACTATATCCCTGGGCATCGGTGATATACATACACACTTACAGACCCAACCCTATAATTGGGCATATACAAAAACAAAAAGACATGGAAGTTATATACATCAACCTTAGATGGGCACTCAAAAAGCAAGCCAACATCTTAACAAACTTCACAAAATAAATGGCCTTGTATAGTGCCTGGACACATGAAGGTTAACAAAAGAAACCGGGCGTCATGGGCTAGGACTGACCACCTAGTTGGTTACCTACAGAAATAGACACAACAGAGAGTGAGCCAGGCTCAGTGAATAGTAATACTTAAATAAAACAATGCTTAACTTGAAACATAATACAGCAATGCATATGAAAATACAGAGTTCACATAGTTAGTCTGATTCTGTGCTAAGTACATAACGGCCTTAGGCCCAATCTTGCAACATAAACATGATGGCTATAAGCCCTTAAGTATAATGGCATGAAACCCTTGAAACATGATGGCTAGAAGCCCTTAAACATATGGCATGAAGCCCTTGAACATGGTGGCATGAAGCCCTTAAATAGCTTGGCATTACGCCCTTGGATAATTTGGCATTAAGCCCTTGAAACATACTTGTATGAACTCAAGAGGTGTCTCACACGGATTCTAGAGGTGGCTCACGTCGTAGCACTTAGTTCCGTGTAGCACTTTGTTTCATATCATAACAACTTATATTGAATGGCCATAGGCCTAGAGTCTTACAGAATGAAAGTATTTCATCTTTTCCATTTCTTTCTTTACATATCATAAAACATTAACATAGTTATATATCGTGCGTGAACAAAATGCTAATGATAATCATTAGCTAATGTAAAGCGTACAATGGTACTACTACTCACAGTGTTGCGATGACGTGTTACTTCCTCCCGGAGTGTGTCCTGCACACATCCAAAACTTACACATTAGCTCATTGTTTTCTCATCAATTAACTTTCTATTTCACTTCACTTCGAAGGCGTGTATAAATATTAAAAAGGCATCAAATACATATTCTGACAATATTAGAGGATTTTACACGCAAAACGGAGCAGACAGTGTTTTTCAGCACGAGCCGCACGTACGGCTGGGAGCCCCGCACGTGCGGCAAGCTCTCCCGCACGTGCGGCAAAATGCCCCGCACGTGCCTTTTAGACAGTAGCCAAGCCTCTGTTTTTCACCATTTCCCGCACGTGCGGCCATGACTTCCGTACGTGCGGCAACACCTCCCGCACGTGCGGCCATGACCCCCGCACGTGCAGCGATTCTACCCAAAATTGTCCGAAAATTCTTGCAAAATCCCACCTTTTGGTGAACATGAATAAGGCGCAAAATAACTTTCATAATTGGTAAAACATGGCCCAAAATCATATAAATACAATGATAATTACATACATCAAACTAATATACTTTAGTTCAACATACACAAGTCCATGAGAGTTCTACCTTTACATACCCATAAGCATACTTTGATATAAAGCCATGCCCACATACTTGAGTTCAAAATAAGAAGATAAAATATAACTTCTCCATGGTTAATTCCAATTGAATCAAATAACCAAGTAAGGTTATCTTGTCCATTAACTTCTTACATACATATAGAATCATAATTCCAACCCCTAAGTGACATGATCATGAGGGTATTTCACACATCTTAAGAAGAAGAAGAGTTATAGGAGTTAGGGGTGAAAAAAAAACCATAAAACCGTTTGCACCGACCGAACCGGACTGAACCGGCGGTTTTTGGTCGGTTTTATTCATTATCCTGGTCTGTTCGGTTCTGTTAAGGATAAAAAACCAAAGTTCGGTTCGATTTTCGGTCATTAAGATTTGGAAACCGCGTGCACTGAACCACACTGAATAAAAAGATAGTATGTATTTGATCTCAGCCATCCATGGAAATACCTAGAGCTAATCTAAGCCATTCATGCACATGTATATATATTCTTTTTTCATAAGTGCCTCTTCTATACCAGCAAACAGTTACGTTCTCTCTCTCTTCTTTCTCATCCTCCTTTGCTTATGTTCTCTCTCTTCCTCCTTCGCTGGAAGCAGTCTACTCTCACACTTTTACAATGCTATCAGCCCACTCTCTCACCACTTTGCGATTAACATAGTTATCTCCATGGTTGACGACCGTTGTTTGCTTCTCCATGGTTGATATCTTCCTCAAACCCTCTTTGTCTACATCAGTGCTTCTTTGTTATAGATCTGTGAACAAAAAAAAAAATGACAAATTTAAGGTATGTTTTTTATAATTTTTAGGGTTTAATTTGTTTTTGTTTTTGTTTTTTTGTTTTTGTAAACTTGGGTTTAATTGATGTTGAAATTGGGGATTTGTTGTTGCTTATTTAGGATCTCTGAAAACCTAGTGATTCGTATACTTCTTTCTTCGGTGATGGTATGTTCCTTTTTAAATGACAGTCTTGTTTTTTCTGACTTTGTAGGCAAAACTAAGCCTAAGACAAACTAAGGTCAAGGACTGTCACCACGATCCTAAAAAATATTGCATGAACCGATGCCACCGAACCGTACTGAACCGGCAAAGTGCTTAACGGTTTGGTTCAGTATATATTAATGGTCGGTCTGTTTCGGTTTGTTGTAATAGAAAACTGATATCATCGGTTCAGTGGAAAAATCACTAAAAAACCGACCGAACCGAACCGTTTTCACCCCTAATAGGAGTTAATTGAGATAGCCTTCTACATACCTTGTGCTTAAACTTCCTCAAATTCCCAACCTTTTTGATGATCTCCTCCCTCTACCCTTCAATTCCTCTCTCTCCTCATCTTCTCTCAGGAGATATATCTATGAGAAGGTTCCTAAGTCTTAAGGTCAATAAGACTCTTATAAACATGTATATATATAAAGCTTGAATATGGACGAAAATTAATCTTTTAAGCATCCCCAAATTGAAATTTCACAGAAGCGCTTAATATTACTTAAAAATTATGCTGATTACATATATGAAGTCAATTTCGGATAATTAAGCCACTAAGGTTTCCAATTCTCGATTCAAACATTCTAATGTGGCAGATACTTGTCTTGTTAAACATATAGACTCCCTTAAACATGCCTTAAACATGGAGTTCACTTACTTAGCCATAATTTCTCATAGAATTTCACGATAAGCATTCAAAAGCATAAAACAAGAACTAAAAATATATCAGGAAACTTGTACGAGGGTCGGGTTATTACAGGTCATGTGTCTGGAACATCCACTATCAAGATACCACTTCCTTTCTGTAGCTTTGGGCTTAAAGCAAACCTACAAGATGACCCTTAAGTGTTGGTTTTTGGTACCCATAATTTCTTGGGTCCTATTTGGTTAGTTTTGTTAGATTCCTTAATAATCCAAACATTTTTAATTCTCATGTTCATATTCTTTTTGAATGGACAATAACATATATAATGGCCTTTTTTTCTACAATAATGACAAGTAATATGAAGGTGTGTCACGAGATGTGCATTTTCAAACATTGTATTGAGATTCTTTTGTTTCTTAATAGGGTCATATCCAATACCCACTTTATCAAAAACACATCTTTGATTTTCAAGAAGCATGTTGAGATTATCTCTACCTTTTACAAAATTTTCAAGTGTTTTTGTTAAATCATCAACATTGTTTTTTAAAGTAGTTTTCTTATTGGAGATAGTATCAAAATCATTTTTCAAAACAATTTTTTCTTTCGTAATTCTTCTACATTAATAGATAAAGATGCAACAGATTTCTTCAATACATTATTTTTTGCACAAACTTTTCTAAATTCATCTTGTAGTTCATGAAATGCACTTTCAAGTTCTTCATAAAGAGTAGTTATCTCATCTTGAGTATAGTCTTCATCTTCAGGAGCCATGAGACATAAGTTGACTACTTCATTTTCAATTTCATCACATGAGCTTTCATCTTCACTTTCTCCCCAAGCTGCTACCATGGCATTTTTGTTTCTTTTGTAGTCTTTTCCATAATTCTTCAATTTTAGACAATCCATCTTCATATGTCCAGGATTTTTGCACTCATAGTAAATAATAGGCTCTTTCTTGTTATCTTTGTTGTACTCTTTTTTGAAAGGTCTCATTCCTCTATAATTGTTTTTCTTGAAGTGCTTTTTGAGATTCCTACTAAACATGGCATAGCTTTCATCCTCACTGGTGTTTTCATGTTCTTCTTCATTTGATGAGGCTTTGAATGCAATTCTACTTTTCTTTTTGTTTTCAACATCCTCATGTCTTTTCATGGTGATCTCATGAGTCATAAGGGAACCCATAAGTTCATCCAATCCAAGTGTGGAGATATTTTTGGCTTCTATAATGGCCGTGACCTTGGCTTCCCAATTCTTTGGTAAACACCTAAGAATTTTTTTCACCAACTCACTGTTAGTATAAGTTTTGCCAGGAGATTTCAAAGAGTTTACAATATCAATAAATCTAGTAAACATACTAGAAATAAATTCATCAGAATTCATTTTAAACAATTCATAACTATGAACAAGTATATTAATATGAGATTCATTCGCTTGGTTTGTACCTTCATACGTTACCTCAAGTTTGTCCAAAATTTCTTTTGCCGAATCACAATTTGAAATTCTATTATATTCCTTAGAGTCTAATCCACAAACAATGGTGAGTTTGGCTTTAGCATTAGCTTGCAATAATTTATGATCCCTCTCATCACATTCATCTTCAGTTTTAAGTATACTAATATTGTCTACTAATTTGGTAGGAATTTTTGAACCTTTGGTAACAATAATCCACATGGCATAATCACTGGCTTGTAGGTATAGGGTCATCTTATCCTTCCAATGACTACAGTTTTTTCCGTCATATAATGGTGGCCTATTTGTGGCTTGTCCTTCACCTAAGGTTGCCATGGATCGAAACTCTCAGATGGTTAAATCTAAAACAAGAGTCTAGGCTCTGACACCAATTGTTACCCAAAAGTAGCAGCAGACCTTCATTAAAGAAGATGAGATCTGGGTCTCTAGAGAGAAAGGGGGCTGAGAATAGGGTTTGAAAAAAAATAATAATAAAAAAGGGTAAGGACAAAATTTATTTGGCCTACAAATAAAAGTAATAATACCTTAATAAAAATTATGGCTAGCACAATAGATAAATATAATTAATGAAATAAAAATAATTAAAACAAGTGTTCTAACAACTATGTCAGTTAATGATTTTAGCACAGTGAAAATGTTAAATATACATTTAAATAAAATAAAGAGATAAGAGAGAGAAAGAGAGACAAACAAATTTATAGTGGTTCGGTTTCAACTCAGCTTATGTCCACTCCTTAAGCTTCACTTGAGATTTTCCACTATACTCTAGCTTCACAGGGTGCTAGTAACCTTTTCACAGATGGAACAATCCTCCACAGATTTTACGCAGACTTTCTAAGTTGAGAACACTGAGTGTACTACACTCTTATAAGGTTGAAAATAATGTATTTTTACTTTCACAGAAAGTTACAAGAATTATCTCTCAAAGATAGATATAAAAATGAAACTCTGATTTTTCTATAAACCTCACACAGGAAAGATGGACTTAAAGCTATACGTCTCAGTGTATAATTTCTAAAAGAGGATGTAAACCAAAATTGAAGAACACTTCTCAGAAAATTTTTCAGAAAATAGATGTGAGTGATTATAGATCAAAAAATATTTTCTAATTTTTTTTAACTTGTTTACATTAGAGGTTTTGGTATATATAATGAAACTTATAGTCATTTATAGCCGTTGTATTTATTTGAATTTATAATCGTTTATAACCGTTGTATTCATTTGAATTTATAACTGTTTAGAGCCGTTGTATTCATTTGAATATCTTCCACTCCATCATTACTAATTTGAATATCTTCCACCTGAACCTTTTGGCCTGCTACTGTGTTTTTGAACCTTTTGGCCTACTTCTATGCTGGGCTGTTTGAACCTTTTAGCCTGCTGCTGGGTTGGGCTGGACTGTTTAAACCTTTGTTTTGGGCTGTTTGAACATTTGACTTAATCAAATATTAAATACATTCTAACAACATTTAGGATAAAAGTTTTAGGTAAGAAATAATGGGACAATATAAATTTTGATTCTATTTTTCTCTTTCAAATAAATTAAAACATAAAATCATCAAAATAAATGTTGATTCTATTTTTCTCTTTTAAATAATCATCAAAATAAATTTTAATTCTATTTTTCTCTTCCAAATAAATTAAAAATATAATTAAATAAATTATCAAAATTAATAAATCTAACAAAACTGAAAAAAACATGATAGCACATCACAAGACACTATAGAAAACTTGAGAACAGAGAGACTAAAACACTCCCAGTCACCAAACAAGGAACAAACCATCACAATTGTGCTACATATCTAGAAAAAATATCCAGAATTTAAACATGTGGACACAATTCATTCTTTTTTTATCTATGGCCCACACAACACACAAACTTTAAATCTACACCATGTACGTTGCTTTTATGATAGAATTATGGATAATTTGTCTTGGTTCCTAGAATTATTGAACCATCAAAGCCACTTCAACTAACACTAACCAGAAACATAGATTGATTAGGCAAGGAGGACAACATTATCACAATTTCTTCCAACAACCCAATATACCACTCTTTCTTCAAAAGCCTCATTCACATTAATTTGCTACCAAACAGTTTGTAATGTGTAATGCGGCTAACGAAAGCTTTGATCATTTCTTACATGTATATTCATGATATCTAGCCTTAGAATCTAATATTATAAAACGATTTAAAAAAAAAAAAAAACAGAGAATATATTTGAATCTAAGCCTCTCATCTCACATGCAAGTTTTTTGTTTTACATGTTTGCAACATAATCAAATCTCAAAAACCTGGCAGCAATAGGCAAATAAATGGATTTAAAAATTTCAGAAGCAGCTGAAGAATCAAGCAACATACCTCTTGTGGCAGCATTTGCATGTCAGTTTATGTGGAAGCACCAGTCCTGCCACCTCACCTCCCTGTCTAACCCCACCCATCTGCCTACCCTACCTATCCTCCACGTACCCTCCATGCAAACCCTCAAACCTACTATAAATCCCCACCACCCCACCACTCTTCCCTCACCCACCACCACCACACCAGAGAATTAATCACTCACAATGGCAAAGCTTGCAATCCTAGCAGTAGCCCTCTTTACCCTGATCGCCCTCGACCAAGTTTCCGCCTTCCGCACCACCATCACCACCACCGTGGACGAGGAAACAGCAGGGGCAAACCCCCGAGGAGAGTCCCAGCAACAGAGCTGCCGTGAGCAGTTCCAGCAGCAGCAGCAGCTCCGCGACTGCCAGAGGTACATGGCGCAGCAGGCACAGCGATTTGCAAACCCGAAGCGCCGCGAGCAAGGCCTCGACGAATGCTGCGACCAGTTGGAGAAAATGGACCAGGATTGCCAGTGCGAGAACTTGAGGGAGGCGATAAGGCAGAAGCAACAGCAGGAGGGAGAGATGAGCGAAGATGAGAAGAGAAAGATGGAGCAAGCGGCCGAGGACTTGCCCCGGAGGTGCGGTTTCAGCTCACAGAGATGCCAGATTGAAGTAAACTGGTTCTAAATGAGGTGTGTTGCGTTGTGTGCAATGTAATAATAAAGGTCCACCACCACCACCCGCCATCCGCCACCCACCTGTCACCACCACCCGCCACCGCCACCCACTCGCTACCACCCACCACCCGCCCTCGTCACCCACTCACCCACCACCACCAGCTACCCACCACCCACCGTCACCACTTTCCACCACCTTCTTCCGTCGCCACTTGCCACCACTTGCCATTTCTCACTCGTTTTTATATTTTAAAATTTTTTTAAACATCTTGTCAATTACCAAACGCGTTTGTAGTTTATGTTTTTCTAAAAATAAACAAAAAATAAACAAAAACCAATTTATAAAATTTTTGTAAATATAAACTGAAAACATAAACGTTACCAAAACACTAAACATAATCAAATCTCAAGAACCTGGTAGCAATAGACAAATAAATGGATTTAAAAATTTCAAAAGCAGCTGAAGAATCAAGCAACATACCTCTTGTGGCAGCATTTGCATGTCAGTTTATGTGGAAGCACCAGTCCTGGCACCTCACCTCCCTGTCTAACCCCACCCATCTGCCTACCCTACCTATCCTCCACGTACCCTCCATGCAAACCCTCAAACCTACTATAAATCCCCACCACCCCACCACTCTTCCCTCACCCACCACCACCACACCAGAGAATTAATCACTCACAATGGCAAACCTTGCATTCCTAGCAGTAGCCCTCTTTACCCTGATCGTCCTCGACCAAGTTTCCGCCTTCCGCACCACCATCACCACCACCGTGGACGAGGAAACAGCAGGGGCAAACCCCCGAGGAGAGTCCCAGCAACAGAGCTGCCGTGAGCAGTTCCAGCAGCAGCAGCAGCTCCGCGACTGCCAGAGGTACATGGCGCAGCAGGCACAGCGATTTGCGAACCCGAAGCGCCGCGAGCAAGGCCTCGACGAATGCTGCGACCAGTTGGAGAAAATGGACCAGGATTGCCAGTGCGAGAACTTGAGGGAGGCGATAAGGCAGAAGCAACAGCAGGAGGGAGAGATGAGCAAAGAGGAGAAGAGAAAGATGGAGCAAGCGGCCGAGGACTTGCCCCGGAGGTGCGGTTTCAGCTCACAGAGATGCCAGATTGAAGCAAACTGGTTCTAAATGAGGTGTGTTGCGTTGTGTGCAATGTAATAATAAAGGTCACCACTGCTCTAAGCTGGGATTTAGCCAAGTTATGATGGTGGTGGTGACCATCTAGAAATAAGCACATTATCGTGTGTATCTTGTAAGTGTTGTTGTTGTTGTTTTTATTTATTTATTTTTTTTTTGGTGTGTGTGTTTTCAGTTTAGGCTTTGAAGCCGTGTAGAGTCCTTACAAATAAATAAATAAATAAAATTGTTAGTATATTATTCTATGTTAGTGTATATCAGCTGTTAGTAGGATATATTTCTTTTCCTTTTACTTTATTTTATTAGTGCAACTTTCGGCTCCTCTCCTATATAGAGGAGTTCAACTGAACCTTTGTAATATCTATCAATAACATTCAATACAACATTTCAATACACAATTCTTTCTCTTTCTTTATACATAAATCTTTCACTAATAATGGACATTTCACGATTGAAGAAAGTGCAAAGGGTCCTGTAAAGTTGGCTTTGATGGTTGGTAATGGCATGGTATCAGAGCAAGGTTGAGAAGCTAGAAATTCTGCTTCACCGGCGGGCGGCAGCTTCGCCTTGGCCGCCCGCCGGACCTCTACACGTACCTTCACTCCACTGCCAGAAAGTCATAGCTGAACTCTTCTCTGCCTCACACATATCTGTTCATCAACCCTTATTTTGAGCTTTCATCTCTGATGTATGTGCGTGCATACATCTGTATTATTGACTTCAATTGAATTTAATTCACAGAGAGTAGTGCTTTTCACAACTCTTACGAAAGGAAGAACAGAAGAGAACCAGTATGAGCTTTGAAGATCTTGAATTGGGACGCCCTTTGACTTCATTCAATGGTACCCATCTCCAACACCGACAACAGGATCCTTCACAGTCCATCGCCGCCGGCGTCTTTCAGATCAACACCGCCGTTGCCTCCTTCCAACGTCTTGTCAATTCCCTTCTTCTACGCCGGCGCCACCGCCGCCTGGGAACAACAAGTCTGCCACTCCGCCACCCCCCACCGCCCCCGCGGCTTCTCCATCCTCGTCACAGGCGCCGCCGGCTTCGTCGGCACCCACTCCTCCCTCGCGTTGCCAGACCGCGGCGACGGTGTCCTTGGCTTCGACAACTTCCATTCCTACTTCCACCCCAGCTCCTTCGGCTACTCCTCCACCGGTCACTCCACCACCGGGTGTTCCTCCACCTGCACCGCTTGCTGCTCCACCTGCTCAGGTTCCGGCCCCAGCTCCGAGCAAGAAGCCAAAATCTCCGTCGCCGTCGCCGTTAGCAGTAAGTCCTCCGGCACCGCCGATGGCAGCACCAGCGCCGACCAACGGGGGGGGCTACATCGCCTTCACCATCTACTCCCAAAACAGAAAGTCGTGGTCCATGGAGAAGGTGGTCAGGAGCTTGATCTTTGGATGGGCTCTCTGATACTGTAGAGCAAGTGGTTCCCAACCAGAACCAAAGCACTGCTTCTCTCTCTCAATATACATCACCAACAACACCACTCACCCATGTGCTCCACTCTCCCAAAAACAAATAAATAAAATAAATAGCTAACTAAGTAAATGAATTGCACCCTCCTAAAGCCTAGGTATGCAGAAAAGCTTAGGTACACAGACACCAGCAACCGACAAATGCACAAAGCACTCACATGCACTTTCTGATAACATTCTTTTTCTTTATTTATTTTTTATTTTTTAATTCAATCCACTCCCTCTCTCTCTCATCCCTTTTTCCTATTCACTAGACCCACTTTCATCATTTCTCTGATTCCATTACTTTCCACTCAAACCTCTCTCTACACAGAACCCACCATTCATCCCATTTTTTTCACTTTCCACCCACATGCTTTCGCCATTCATATCTTATTCTTATTCTTAAACCCCAAAAAAAAAAAAAAAAAAAAAAAAAAAAAAAAAAAAAAAAAAAAAAAAAAAAAACAAAACAACACAAAACATCCCAAACCCTTTGCAGGTTTTCACAACACGGTGGGCCAAGCAACCCACGTGATCATCTTCTTATTATTTATTTTTTTTTTTCATTTTTCTTTCACTTTATTTTTCATCTTTTTTTTTCATTATTATTTCTTTGCGCAGCACACAAACAAAACAAAAAAAAAAACAAACAACACACCACCACCAACTAACACCAACACCGTTTCACCACCTTGTCCATTTATTCATATCAGGGGATCAACCCGATCACACTTTTACATTCAAAAAAAAAAACAAAAAAAAAAAAAAAAAAAAAAAAAAAAAAAAAAACAACACACCACCACCAACTAACACCAACACCGTTTCACCACCTTGTCCATTTATTCATATCAGGGGATCAACCCGATCACACTTTTACATTCAAAAAAAAAAACAAAAAAAAAAAAAAAAAAAAAAAAAAAAAAAAAAAAAAAAAAAAAAAAGCAGAACAGAGACCAGAGGGGAGGGGAAGAAAAGAGAGAGGAATGGAGAAGAAGGGAGACGAACAAAGGTGGCGGGAGGGGAGCCGCCGAGGCCGTTGCAGAAGAGGGAGAGGACAGACCAAAATCTTACCCACTTGCCACCTCTCCTCTCTCATCCACTTGGAATCTTACCCACTTGCCACTTAGGCAAGTTCTGCTCCAAGAAATTCCTCTCAATCATCCACTCCAAGATGAAAGAATCTCTGTTCGGAGACTCTGTTCGCCTGGTTCGGACGGGTTTGGAGCCGCCATGGTTGCTCCTTTGACCTTGCCATCTTCCGAGGCCACTGCGCCACCAGCGACTGCGGCGGCGCCCTCTTTTTTCTTCTCCCCTTCCGCCACCCTTCTTCTTCTCCCTTCCTCTCTCTCTTCTTCCCCTCCCAACTGGTTTCGGTTCTTTTTTTTTTTTTTTTTAAATTGAAATTTCCCTCAAAATGACATCGTTTTTGGGGTGCCGCAGGGATGGCCGTAGGCTTGTTTGCTACAACGGTCCGACATGACCCCGTAAACTGTCTGCTACATCGGTCCGGACATGACCCCGTAAACTGTCTTCTACATCGGTCCGACATGACCCCGTAAACTGTCTGCTACAACGGTCCGACATGACCCCATAAACTGTCTGCTACATCGGTCTGACACGACCATACCGTGTCTCCTATCCTGTTTTATTTATCAGTTTATTTTTCTGTTTTGTGACTCTCTCCAAACTCAAGTTGGCTAGTGCCTATCCTCCTTGAGTTTGAGGGGGGCTGTTAGTATATTATTCTATGTTAGTGTATATCAGCTGTTAGTAGGGTATATTTCTTTTCCTTTTACTTTATTTTATTAGTGCAACTTTCGGCTCCTCTCCTATATAGAGGAGTTCAACTGAACCTTTGTAATATCTATCAAAAACATTCAATACAATATTCATCAATACAAATTATTCTCTACTTCTCTCTCTATCAATTTATCTTACAAAAATAAAGGCTACTTTAATAAGAATCTCTCTCCGGAGATCACTGCGACTACCATCTCCTGCTATCGACTGTCGGCAGCACAGCAAGCTACTAGTGGCTACCAAGCATCAGTTTTTAAAGGAAAGGAGACAAAAAAAAATAAAAAAATTCTTTGATCCCATATTGTGAAAAAACTGTGCTCTTTAACTATATTTTTTCAGGTATCAAAACTCGCACGTAAATTCTATAGCATGCAATTTATAGTGTATTTTTTTTGCAAATCCAGAAAGCCGCAAGTTGAGTGAATTCAAGCAAAAAACAAAATAACAAAAAAGCAATGAAGATATTAAAGAAGTCAAGTATGATATGACAAAAGCAATCATAGGAGGCAATCTTTAGCAATAATGGAATGTTGAATACAAGATTTTAATGAAGAGACATTTTTTGGTAAGAAATTTTTTATAGCAATGTTAGTAAAGCTAAAACTGAAAAGGACATCGAGGATGAAGAAAATTTTGAAAAACGAAAAAAGATAATTGCAAAATTAAAAGCTTGAACAGAAAATTGGAGAAAATTTGAAATGTAAGAAATTAAAAATTTCTGAAGTTGAACAAGAAGCATGAAACAATGATGAGCAAAACACAAGTGAGCAAGTTTATTTGCAAAGTAACAAATTTGATGAAATTCAGTTTTGATAAGATGAAAAATCATGTGACCAACATCCAAGGGAGTTGAAGAAAACAAAGAACATGAAAATTGCAAACTAAAAGTTGTTGGAAAAGTAATTTAAACTTTATTAAATATTTAGAGATTCTAAAATATTGTGCAATTTGTATCAGGGTGAGGTTAATAGATTTTTTTGTGGAGTTCATATTACGAGTTTTATTTTGATGATTTAAAGATTTTTAATGTATATCTTTTATGAAAAAAATTAATCATGACATTTCATTTTATCACTTTTATTTTTAAAAAAATGAATGATAAATATGTTTTTAAAAATAAATCATTTATTTTTTCAAAATATAATAAAATAAAAATATTATGATTATCATCTCCCACTCTTCAATAATTACATTTTGGCGTTGTTTTTGAAAAGTGCTTTTGAGTTTTTTTATTTTTTATTTTTTTCATATTTCAATAATTTTTGACCTTTTTACATGCATGTGCACCTAATATTATATTCTTTTCTTTTTTTGTATTCAGTGAAAAAAAAATTAAAAAAATTCACAAATATGTTATTTTTAAGTGTATCTAATCTATATTAAATACATTTAAAAAGAAAAAAATATTAAAATATGAAAATAAATTTACTAAAACAAAAAAATATTGAAAAAAAAAAAAAAAAACTCAAAACCAATTAGAGTGACTGGAAAACTTCTCTCAACAAATCAGTAGCTGCCATTCTTATTCTTCTTTTTCTTCTAAAAAAAAAAAAAAATTTGCATAACATGAAAAGAACAAGACATATTTATGAGATCCAAAGAAAAAAGAGGATAAAACTGACACAGACAAGATAGCACAAACTTGAGAACAAAGACAAACACTCTAGACCTAGACCTAGACACCAAACAAGGAACAAACTATCAAAGCCACTTCAGCTGAGACAAAAATCACCAAACCAGAAAGAGAGATTGATTAGGCAAAGAGAACAACATTATCACAATTTGTTACAACCACCCAATATAATTGTAAGATGAGTTAATTTGAACCCATTAAATTAATTAGGTTTAATAATTTAAGGTTGGTGAGTTTAAATTTATCGCAAGTCCAAGATTGGTGGGTCCAAATTTATCATCATCAAACGGGTCGAATTGCTCTAAGCCTCGAAAGAGTTCGGATCTATAAACCTAAAGATCCGAACACTTGGCTTCGAACAGATTCAGATGCAATCTAGAAGCCACTCCATTAATGAGTCCCAAAACACTTTTGAACTTGGAGCTTTCTGAGATCTACGTACCAAAACCATAGGCGTAGTGGAGTCTGAACAAAGGACCCGATCCCGACGA